CCCTGCACCCTGCCCTGCACCACCCACCTGCACCGCCCACCCCACACCCCTGCACCACCCTGCCCCGCACCCAACCGCTACAGCGTTTCACTGAGGCCTTGTTCATTTATTGTCAGCACCCCCACGATGCTACGAGCTTCAGGGAGGGCCATGTCACCTTGTTCACGACTATGCACGGTGTAAGAGGAACGCTCCATCATGACCAGCTGCCCACCAGCCCGGGGTCAGTCCCCCCACCCCCCCCATGCAGTCCTGCAGGAACCAAGGGGAAAGCCCAAGTCTCAGGTAGGGGCATGGGTGGGTATGGGCGGGGTGGGTGATAGCGTGTGTGGGCGAGGGCGAGGGTGGTCCTGCAGGCGGCCAGGAGGGGAGGCCGCGTCCCGCCACTGCACGGCCACGCTGACGCACATCTCAAACAATCGCTGGCTTCCTGTTCGTATGACATAAGAAAAACAGGATGTAGAGAGGCGTTTATCTGAGTGAATAAGATAAGCGAGTTATGTGACATTCTGCAGAACTGAGGGTCCACGGCAGGAGGGCAGGTCAGGCGGCAGCAGAGCCCCCCCGACTCTGCACGCCCCCAGCCAGACCCTCACACTCCAGCGTCCACTGCACCCAAACGCGCCCGTCTGGGGAAGTCACGGCAGGGTTGGGGGCTCGGAGCCTGACACCAGGACCCCAGACCCACCTCGGCAGCCTGGACCAGGCCCAAGTTCACAGCCAGCTCCGCACATCAATGTGCTCGTGTGCGCTAACTGCAGGAGGCCCCCAGCAGGTCTGAACTCTGACCCCCAGGGGCATGGGGTGGGGTGGGGCAGCTATGTAAGCTCAAGAAAAAAAGCACAGCCCCAATGGCCCTGCAGGTCCCCCTACGTGGGTGTCCTCCCTGGGAGGACCTGCTCAAGGCGCCAGGCCCAGTACAGGGGCCCAGGGTCTTCACTGCCTGCCCCCAACTCCTCCCCACCCCTCTCGTCAACACCCCTCCCCCACAGTGCTGGACACAGTGGGTCACAGGACACAGAGAGCCACTGGGGCCGCTTCCGGGGATTCTCCTGGAATGGCCAAGATACAGGAAGGTGACAAGGAGACACTGCTTTATCCCAGATGTGACCTTCACTTTTAAAAATCGATGCATTCCAGGAAAAAAAATCAGCTGCCAAGTTAACTTCGATAAAGACCCCTAGTAAATGCTTATCACAAAGCTAGTGGCAAAAAATAAACAAAATGAGTGCTGTTTTCCATGGTAGGACAGTGAAGTGACAGACATGGTCTGGGAGGCGGTGGGGTGGGCAGTGGACATCCTGCCTCCACATGGGGGGCTGGTGTCACATGGTCTCCATGGGCCCAGTGTTTCCGGCAGCGCCCCACTGAGGGAGACGCTCACTCATTCATGGTTTTATCCACACAACCACGAGCTCAGAGGAAACCTCACCTGTCCTCAGCCTGCATCCGAGTTGGCTCCAGCCAGCACCATGATGTGGGATACAAGAAGCTCTCCCCCTGAAGCCAGCACAACTGGACTAAACCAAAGCTAAGAAGTTTCCTCAGTACAATCAAATACTTTGAGAGACAGAGTAGCAGGGATGGGGGGTCTGGGGACTGTGCTTTCAGGGGACATCTGTGTCAATTGGCATCACAAAGCTTATTAAGAAAATATTCTGCATCCTATTTTGGTGAGTGGCATCTGGGGTCTTAAAAGCTTGCAAGTGGCCATCTAAGATGCATCAATTGGTCCCAACCACTTGGAGTAAAGGAGAACGAAGAACACCAAAGACACAAGGAAAGTATTAGCCCAAGAGACAGAATGGGCCACATAAACCAGAGACTTCATCAGCCTGAGACCAGAAGAACTAGATGGTGCTGGGCTACCACCAATGAATGTCCTGACAGGGAACACAACAGAGGGTCCCTGATGGAGCAGTAGAACGATGGGATGCAGAACTCAAATTCTAGTAAGAAGACCAGACTTAATGGTCTGACTGAGACTGGAGGTGGCCCAGAAAGCATGGCCCCTGGACTCTCTATCACCCCGGAACTTAAACAATTTCCGAGGCCAACTCTTCAGACAGGGATTGGACTGGACTGTGGGACATAAGGTGATACTCGTGAAGAATGTGCCTCTTAGTCAAGTAGATACAAGAGACCAAGGGGCAGATTCTGTCCGGAGGTGAGATGGGAAGGCAGAGAGAGTTAGGAGCTGGTTGAATGTTCATGGGGAATCAGGGGCGGAGGGGAGGAATATGCTGTTGCAGAATGGGGTGAGCGGTTGGGGTCT